AAGCTTATCAGAACAGGATTTCCAGAGCCTGACTGAACAGCTGATAAAGATTGTGAAGTCAGAGACTACTAGTAGCTCTGTTCTCAGAACACATAGTAGAAAGGCATGAAAAACAGAGGAATGAGCTATTTGAACATAACTTGTACAAACTCTGTTCTGGATAGAGCACTCATGTTACATGACTGAGTCATTTCAGACAATTTTTTTTACATAATTCTGGAAGAATCCTGGTTGATACAGACTTATGGAAGCAGAGTACTTTAACTTGGTCCTGTTCTCTGCATGGATAGCATTTTAATTGCTAAGTTGTGGTAAAATGCTGTGCTTAATTATGCAATCAAGTATCTAATTTGTCAGTCATGGCTGCTGTTTGAAACCCTCAGGATTGTTTTTGCCATCATTCTACTGTTTGTACTTGGGTTACAGAGGGCCTTATCTCCTTGGACACATCAAAGCAGTATTGTCACTTTGGAGTAAAAAGTAGGGAGTAGAAGTGTAATTAATCCTAAATACTCAGGAAGCCATTTTACCATTAACTATGAGGACACTAAGAATTCCTTATCCATAGATCACTAAGTTGTAATCAGACACACTCTGGAGAGATCAGCTTTAATAAGAGTCTGCTACTGTGAACACTCTCTCTGTTATCCTGTGGGTTGTTTCATGGGAGGCATGGAGGACAGAGGTTATTTTATCAGAAATCTGTGATGTTTTTGTCAGTTCTCTTTAATCCTGGTTTGAAAATACTTCTGGAAAATGAGGAACTGATATTGATCTTGGAGCATCCTTCTTAAATGTCCAGCCTCTTTGACTCTTTTTCCTATTGCACTAAGATGCATTGAATATAAATGAAAGTTGGCAGTAAGTGCAGTCCTGCAGACTATGGCTGTATTGTCTGTTGGTACTTATCATCATTTGGTTTCTAATTGCTGCATTCTTGGTACAGTCAGAAAGACTTGATGTAATACAGAATACCAGAGAATGGATAGTATTAGTTATTCTAAATTTGCCCATTTCTTAACTTAGATATAAGGAAGAAAATCTTCTGAAATTAATGCTAAAAACTGTAGAAAATTCCTTTCTGGCAGGCACCAGAGTGCTTTTTAAAAAAAGATTGTTATTTATTCCACAGTTGAAAGATCTCACAGTAATTGAAAGAGGTACTAGCCTTCATTCTCTAAGCCTTCTTGGTCATTAACATCAGACATTTAGGGCTCTTTAAGGAAAAGGGATCTGGATTTATCTCAGAAGAAAAGACTCTTGTAAGCTTGCTCAAAGTCACTGGACACAGTAACTCTTAGATCACACTTGGGAGGTAGGGCCAAGGCAGACAGGTTGAGGAGGTCAGACGTCCCAGTTTTCTCAGAGCACCTCTTCAGAGTGGCAGTGCAGCATGCAGATCCATTTCCAGTAATGACGAGCCTCAGACCCTGTAGAAGTAGACTGCCAACACCTAGGCAGTGGTGCCTCCTGCTCCCTGAATAGGTCTGTTTTTGAATAGTTGTGTGATGGCACCACCTTCAGAATACTTGGACAGAATAGCAAAGTCATAAGTTACAAGAATAAGGGCTAATTCTGAATTTTCTTTGCCCTCCACACATGTGTCTAGAGCCATAAAAATGTTTGGGCGGTGTTGCATCAGTTGCTGTATGTGTGTTCTATGTGTGTGAACAGTCATAAAACAAAGCCACTATTGAGTTAGATAAATGCAAAAGAAGGGTGGGAATGAATACTTGCCTTCTGGAAATGCTATTTTTTTTTTTCACTTTGGGATATCTCCAGTAACCAAATAGAATTTTCTGATACGTTTGCCAAATAAAAGAACTGAGGTTGAGAGTTAGCATGAGATGTTTTAGCTTCATGTACATTTCAGAGACCTGGCTAAGAAACGGCAAAGATGAAAATTACATTTTAACTTTCCCAAGGAATCAGGCATCTTACCAAGCACCAACAATATAATTCACTGAATGTCTCCTTTACCTGGGAGAAACTCAAAAAATCACCAGGCTCTTAGATATGGCATTGGCCCAACTGTCTTCACATTCTACTGCCATCCCCTTTCCCCCTATTTTCCTGTAACACCACTTTCTCTTTGCAGTGAGAAGATCAAAGCAGCTATAATATGAAACTATATCTGAAGTTTCTCTATATTAAGTGCATGGAGAAGCTAAACTCTTAAGGCAGAGGGAGAGTAGTGGTATCATGTTCCATTTGGATTTATGTGTTCTTAACCCTTAGTTTTCTTTTTCTTTTTTTTTTTTTTGTAACTTACTCCTCCCATCGTCCTCTCCTCCAGTTCCATTCTAATTTCTTTAGAATAACTTGTGAAAATTTGGCATATTTCTTAGTGGAAAATAGTATAGAGACATCCATTATATGGTACCTGGATAAATGTCTTGGTCTTTCTCCTGTCCAAACCCGTTGCCTCAAAGTAGGGATAAGCCAGTGTTCCACTAATCTCTGCCCCACCCAGGGCCTAACCAGGACCTGTGATCCTCATTCAAGTCTGTGTGGCAGACGCAGTGTTTCTCTCTGTGTGGCAATATTAGGATGGGTGATGGTGATAGAAGCAGATACAGTGTGGGAGCAGCTCTTACTCCAAGTAGTGGTGGAACAAAAAAGCAAATAATTCATGGACATCTGTGAAAATCAGTGCTTTCACACTGCATCTATGACATGAAAAAGAGCCATGTAATAAATTAAACATTAGCTACAGAGAAGAAGATTGGTAATGATGATAGAAGGAGATTAAAAACTCTTCCTCTTTCCAGGCTTCCCATCCCATTCCCCAAACACTAGTATCCCAGGGTCATCTTCTTTGTCCTGTTTCACACTACTTGGAGCAGGCACTGTCAGTAAGTTGTCTCACCACTATTTGTTAAGATCAATGACTTTGTGACATCTTACCACCTGTAACCCCCGTTGCTGTTTCTTACCGCTAACTTTGTTACAGTTAACTTTAAGAAAGCATATTAACTTTTTGGTAACTTAAGCACTTTATTATTAGTGACCAACAATTTTTCACCTGGTCCATACCCACCATGGTTAATTATCCCTGTAGTGGGGCATGAGCCCTTGTCCCCTTCTCCTCATTTTATTCACTGCTGGTTGGGCTTCTCCTTCATTCAGAAAATCTGAATTAAGCACCTAGAAATGAAAAAATAATTAAGGTTCAGTCCTGTGCCTTCAGGATGAATCTGGTGGGGAGAGAGATAAACACAAAACTAACCATTCTATACAATGTGTTAGGATGGTGCAAAGAACAAACTTGTGGGATTTGGGACTTGAGGAACTTCTGCTCCATGAATTCATAGATACGAGATTAGAATTGGGCCTTGGAAAGAAAGGATTTTGCGTGAGTACGCCAGGGAGAAGACCAGGCAGAGGGCAAGATGGGTGAAAATGTGAATGTGATGGCAGAATCTGAACTCTGGGACAGAGCCAGTCTGGCATGTTGAGTGCATAGGGAGATGGGGCAGGGTCGGTTCAGATGGCTCAGGACCTTGAAACCAATGCCAGTGATATTAATCCTCTGTCTCATAGGCAAAGGCAAGCTTTGGAGTTAGATGATGTGTTGGGAGAGGAATGTTAGGATGTTAGGGGGTGTTGGAAGGTTAGAGTAGAATGAGCTTGGAAGTTCAGAGATCAAAGACTTACACTGATCTAGGCTGGAGAGTACAGAACTCAGGACTATCAGAGTGTTTCCAGGACCAGTACTCATCGCACCTAGGACACAGTCATGAGCAATAAACAGAAGTTGAATGTAATCAGGCAGATTGACTCTGGCAGTTGAGGAAAGCACAAGGGAAAAAAAATGGCATCAAGAGGTTTCACTTGAAATAATAGAGGAGGGGCAGGTTTAGGGTATTGGAGGATGGCGGGGAAAACCTGTTGTTTTTTTAATTGTTGGTGAGGGTTTTGAGAAAAGATGTCTTAAGAGACAGCTGGAGGGAACTCAGGGCCCCCAACTCAGGTCTGCCGCATGGCCATAGATGAACGTGGGAGCTATACTTCTTAGAAGCGCCTTCTCTAACAAACAGCAGAAATGCAACAGAGAAAGCAGAGGACTTTGTCAAGAAGCCTGGCATATCGCAACCTGGAATGAGTGACTTAGATCTTACTTCCTCAGCCGTCACATAGAACTGACCTGCCCTGCTGTAAGAGTCAGGAGGCTTATGCCAGCATTTGCTTTTGGAACAAAATAGCCTTGCTATTAAGGTTTTGTTTATACTTGGTCACAATTGCTAGAGACATTTAATGACATCCCTGTGGCCACCCAGTTGCCTACTAAAGTAAGTAAGGTTGAGGGAGCTCCAGTGTCTGCTTTGATAGCCAGTTGGCAGGGTGAAGAGTCTGTGACTTTAGAAAGAGTATAAGGGGTCAGTGTGTAACATATCTCTACTGTGAAATAATGTAAGTTTAGTAATTCTAATTAAATTCAACAACTGCAATTCTAGGCATTTTTTCACACAGGTTCTTCTGTATATTGAGGCTGCTAGCCAGTAAAAATACAAATATTAAATAGAAGGTCTGAATATTCATCCTAGATTTTGAGCAATAAAATTGGAAAACAAAGAAGCATACAAAGCATGTGGCAGTCTCACGGTGGTCATATACTCTGGGAGGACCAGTGTGAGACATTGGAATTAATTGCTGTGTTAATGTCACTTGGGCTCATTTATCCTCTTGTTCTGCCTTACTAGGAGACTGCATAAGTAATTCAACTGAATTCTGGCAGCTTTTGGGAGCATACATGTTTTCTTGTTCTCTTCCCTCCTGTTCTTTTTGACACACCCCACCCACTTTGAGACAGTTTTCTAGTTGTTCCCCTGGGTAGTGGTTTTATGGGGAAGTTTCTTTTGTAGGCTTCCAGCTAGCTTCATTTTCACTCTCTTTTTGAAGTCACTGCCTTTGTCACATTTCTATGATATTATCCATCATGAGTTACCTTGGGATTTTTACCTTTGAATTGACTTCATATTTTTGGTTCATACATGCAGGCTGTCTCCTGGTTCGGACATCTATGTGACAGTCTCATCCATGGCTTTAGCAAGATCCCAATGTCGTAACTCCCCTAGCAACCTGTCTTCATCCAGCGAGACTGGCTCTGCGGGGGGCACCTACAGACAAAAATCCATGCCTGAAGGGTAGGTATATTGTTCCTCCTGTCGCATATGGTCTCAGTCTTTGTGGCTGTCTTTTGTCTATAAAAATGATACTCATTCAGCCAGACCTGGTCAACTTAAAAACAGTAGGGAAAATGTAGTTAATATCCCAGATAGAAAAAAATGGTTCAAACCACTTCTAGGAAGTTTATCCCTCTTTAGTCTCTACAGTGACCTCAATGGCAAGAGAAATCAAATCTCATCAGGTCTCTGTTACATATAGCAATCAATATCACAGGAAGGACCACTTCTAGGATTTCCCTCTAAGTGAACTCAGAAGAATAACACTTCCACTGGAGTTGATACTGCTGTCAGTGTAGGGAAGATGATAATCACATCTGAAGCTTAAAATTATTTGTCTCACACTTTAAGACTTCTGTGTTTTTGCTTTTGTTTTTAATCCTCATTGAAAATGTTAAATGCCCGGAAGTAACAATATGCTACCAACAAAAGTTACAAAGTGGGCTTGGTGTGTAGCTCAGTGGTAGCATGCTTGCTGAGCATGTGTAAGGCCCTGGGCTCAATCTCTAGCACCATGTTCTCCACTGCCCTGTAAAAACCAAATAAACAAAAACCTTACAAAGTAAAAAGAGAAATCAAAATGTATATGATTTTAAAGGAATTTTAAAGGAGAAAAAAATTGTTATGTCTGAAGCTGGGAAGTAATTAGTAAGAATGCACTATATGGCCCACAAAAGTCACCTTTGTCTAGAGGAGGACTAAAAGAACCATGAAAACTTCCTGCTGGAGCTTCTCCCTGGGGAACCTGAGAAAGACCTTGAACCACTTGAAAATCAACTGTTAGGTGTTTATAAAAACTGATGTTTCTTTCCTACATTTTCTCCAAATATATTTTTAACAAATGGACACATGATTTGGTGACTTTCACAAATCATCTCACAAAATAAGCATGTTTATTAATAATAACCTTATAATGGTTATTTCTTATGTATAATATCTTGTTGGTTTCTACAGTCATTAAGTATGCTTTTGTTGCTAAATGTTTATATTAGCAGAAAGTAGGTAATAAAACCACTATAAAATATATTTTCCCCACTCTACCATCTCCCCTAGGACTCCCTCAGTAGCCTGCACATTTCTTACTTTAATTGCTTCAGTGACAACTAGAAAATAATTTTAGCTTTTATTCAAGACTCCTTGCAAAAGGTTTATGAATTACATATTATTTTACTGCACCACAAGCCTAACTAATTATTTCTTGTTTTAATTAGATTTTGAACGGCCTGGTTTGCCTTCAAATCTACAAAGTCACCACAACTTCACCATTAGTATAGCACTAAAACATAAATGAGCTAACAAAAAAAAGAAAAAAGTTTTCTTCTGTCTGTGATAGAGTTTAAATGATACCCGAAAACCAAGTTGAAACATTGATATTTGGGTGAATACTGATGTTAAAAGCATAGTTCCGATGCCTGTGCTACTCAACTTTTGTTAATGAGGTGGTAATTATTCAGTTGGATGTCTAATAGCTCAGCCTCCACCCTAGATGGTGTTGAGGATTTTCTCTTTATTGGGGAATTTACCATCAGCTGTTGACCATGAGGCATAATGTCTTTTTCAGGTGGGATAATCTTTTACAAGAAAATAATACAGCGTTTCCCACTAGACCCCAGGCAGTCTTTGTCAACATCAGGGAGCTAAAAGACAGTGCCAATCCACATGTGTTGCCCCTGAATCAGGTTCGAACCTCAAGATACCCTTATGTAACGTCTCCTGTACAGCTTACCCCAGTAAAGATGGATAAACACAAGTTGATACTGAGACTGGAAGTGTGCGCACTCTGCCACACACTCACCAGTGTTAAGCTTGCGTGGAGCCAGAACCATAGGTCAGTAACATAACATGCTACACTGGTGTTCTCCTACCTGATGCAGATGTGTATGGCATGTGCCAGCCCATTCCCTGGTTTGAGGTTGTTGAGTATCCAAATTAGCTGAGAGGTGAAATTTAATAGGGAAATTAATAATATCTATTTGAATGGGGAAAAAAACACACCTGTACAAGCCTCACATGGGAATGAGAGCCCGTTCTTAGGAAGGTCCTTCAGACATCAGCCTGCCTTGGAGAGGAGTGGACAGTCTCATGAGGCCAAGCACCTGGTTACCGAAGTTGTCTCATAAGTCAGCCAAATGACTGCTTTACAACTCCTGTAGATTTGACCTGTGCACAACTCCTGAACTATCAAGTGCTCTCCAAACAGAGGCACACTTAAGATCTTCAAAATAAGGTACAATGTGAAATTTAGAACAGGTTTTGTCCTGAGCTCCTCAAGCCAAAATGCTTGCATCCCTAATACCCTGGCACACACTTGGGGATGGGGAAGGGCAGTGAGAGAGAACTGAAAGTAAACATTCACTGGATGGTAATGGGTTTCAAGGCAAAGTTGAAACATAGTCTCATTTATTTAAAAGCAGATAGCTAGAAAAACATTCCACTTTAAATTCAAGGATTTAAAAAGTTATCTTTAGTTTCTATTGCTACAAAAAAGTAAAAGCAAGATTAGAATCTATATCTAACTTTTTCAAAAAGTCTTCATTTAGTACAGATTGACAATAGGATCATAGGGCCAGTTTGAGAATAGTCACTCTTCTGAACTAAACAAGAGCCCTATTTAGGAGGAGGCAGCAAAAAACATGGTGGGAATCCCTTTTCTCCCTAAACATTTTCCTCAAAGTATCTGTAAATCACAGTTTTCATTTGCAGTGATAGCTACCTTCATATGTAAGGTAACTTTGCATAGTGGCCTTGGGAATGGGCCTGTAAATGAACAGTACCTGCCAAGGCAACTGGAAAGATAATATAATAAATCTTTTACTAAAGTAGATAGTTCTGTGCCCTTCTCTACTTTACAAATCCTTTGTATAGATTTTCTGAGACAAAAATTCTTTTTGTCTAGTCACATTGGGTGGTGGAGTTGGAACATGGCTTCAAGTCTTCTTACTCCTAATCTCCCACTCTTTCCAATATACCACTTGCTGGTCCTGCTCATGGAATTACTACTGATCACAGCAAGTAAGATACCCATCATGTGTGTCATTGACACGGGCCCTAGTTTGTCCTTTATTGTATTGTACTTAGAAGCTCATTAGTAACCACACAGAGATTAGGAAATCTCCACGTGAATATTTGAATACTCTGTCCCTTTTTCTGAGCTCAGTATTCATTTTGCTGTATTGCTGACTGAGGCAGATGCTTTAATTAAACATTCATTATTATTATTTCACCTAGGGAAAAATAAAATTGGCTCACTAAATAGCTACTTTTCTTTCCAGAAATAGACATTTGCCCTTATGAATGCCAGCTTACCTACTTCCAAACTGCCATTCCCAAAGGAAGGAAGTTAAATATTACATGCTGTGAAAGTGGTTTCCACATAACGTAAATGATAGCAATCTGTTTTTCAGACCACAGAGCAAATGCTCAGAAAACACTTTTAGTCAGTTACTGATTTAACAAAATAAACCCCCAAAATGTACCATTTGAAAGATACATATGAGATATTAGATTGCCCTTTGGCTGTGAATGACAGTCTGAGCTTGGCCTTTCAAGGGCTAGAAGATTTTTGGTTTCTTACTCTACATGTCTCGGAGTAGTTCAGTCCTAATGTTAACAGTTGATATAAAAACATGCATACCTTTCTGAGCAGTGATCTATATTAGCCACAATATATACATTTCCACACCCATGCATAAGGATGTATCTACATGTACAGACATGTAAGCAGAAACTGGTAGTACCTGTTACTAGAGTCAAGTCTATTACACACAGAACTCTTCTCTTTGGAGAGGTCCCTGATGCTGTCTTTGCCTTTGTTTGGGGAATTACCACAGGTTTGGAGTGAGTCGCAGATCTCCAGCCTCCATCGACAGGCAGAACACCCAGTCAGACATTGGTGGCAGTGGAAAATCCACACCCAGCTGGCAAAGAAGTGAGGATAGCATTGCTGACCAAATGGGTAAGTAATTAATTTCTATGAAAAGCAAGTGCTTTTATGACAAGATGACTTTAACCACTTCTTGATGATATTATCAAAGTATTGTGTTATAAAACAGTGTTAAGTGCACTAGAATTAAAGTCTGTGCTAGACTATATATACTCAAAAGCAACAAACAAGATCTGAGAGAAAAGTCAAGCATTCTAAGTGACAGCAGAAAGGACATAAGAATTATATTGAGCACCAAGATTAAGAGATCAGCCTAACAAACCACTAGTACCCAAAATACCTTCCTCCTCCCTTGTTTATTTTTGTTCAGTGCCTTGAGAGATTCCTCGGTATTCTTAATGTCAAGTTAAAAAAAAAAACTGTGTACGAAGTGGGAAGAGATGGAATTACTTGTTTAGTCACATCTGTAGCTTGGTTAGAAGCTCTTTCCTTCCTTATGTGCAGCTCGCTTTATTCTTTCCACTCCACTATTAAGCTGTCAGCTAAGGAAATGTCTTAGCAGTACAAAACAGCTGGGTGGAAAAATTCAAATTAGTGAGCCCTCACTTGAATTTCTGGTGCATAGCCCTCTCTACATGTGTGTGGTGTGGTTCACAATGACACCATAATACTACTTGGTACAATAAATTTTACCATGAAGCAAGGTTAAGTTTCAACACAGCAACATCATGTATTAGGTATCAATACATTGATATTTTAAGGACTTGAATCTAGACTATAAAATTGGCTTTTTTTGTCCTCTCCTTTATCTTATGTCCAGAAGCATTAGCATCAACATGGGATAAAAAGGTATAAGTTTCAGGACTGAAAAAACTAACTTTTAAGGCAAAGACCCATCTTTTTATCTTCTCTGCAGATTCCTGGTTTTGTTTTATTTTAATCACTGTGCCCAGGTAAATGTACTAACCATGAACCTAGAAGGGAGTGAAGGAGCATTCAGCTAGGGTAGAAGTTAAGGAAGAGCAATGAAATTCTTAGGTTCTGAAGAAATGCTTTGTTCCAATAACTTCAGTGAGATGTGCCTTGTTATTGAAGCCATCTGTCACTCCCCATTTCCCCACCCAGCCCACCCCCAACGTAGAAAACCTGAGCATATTCTGATCAGCTCCTCTACTCTTGACAGAATGTTTTTAATCCCATATGTTTTGGTACTGTTGAGATGGCAACGACACATGTGAAAATGGTCCCTTCTCCAGCATGACTTTAGCGGCTTTCTCTGGCTCCCAGTGCAGGCTTTGGGCAAGGCTGCCAGCAAGCCCTTTGTGCAGCACACAGTGTCATACTTCATCCTAGACCTGTATTCATTCTCTCACACAAACCTCCCTCTAGTCTTTTTTTCCTTGCATCTACTTTAGTGGAGGGGCATCCCACTCTTAATAGCTAAGATTCTAATATGAATATGGATGAATGACTCTCCTTAACACATTTGTTCATCCTTTAAGTAAGGTATACTCTTTTTTTTTTTTTGATAAGATTCCCTTAGAGCCTACCAGAGGAGCCTTTTTCACCATAGTGGGAGGTCTAAGTAGCAGTTTTTCTTTACTGAAAATCTAAAGCTCAGCTATTATGTTAAAATACATTTTTTTAACTTCTGATATCCCAGCATTCCAGGAGAATAGCACAGCCTTTACTACTTGGCACATCAAAAAGAATCCAGAGCTTGGTTGGTGTAGGCCATCCTAAGAAGAATTCAAGAAAAGTAAACTTAAGTATTTTCATTTCTTGGTACATGGTACTGATTGTGTAAAGGGCTGGCCTTTCTACACTCAATTCATAGGAACAGATTTCTCGAATCACTGCTGGAAAGTGTTAGAGTTTCCTATCTGTTAGGCAAGGCCACCTGTCTTTGCACATCAGTGAGCTATAAGCTGGTTTCCTACTGAACTGATAGTGCACACAGGAATTTAGCTTTAGCATAAGTAGCTGGCTCATCTCCATAGATGTTTGTTTTTCTGACCCTCTGCTCTTGGAAGTGGCTGAGGGTCAGACTCAAGGAGGAGGCTGTCTGGTCCTCTGCATGTTATGCAGGGTGTTGCAGAAGTCCATAATTCTTGCTAGTAGTTGTTAGAGAATAAATCACTTATCTCTCACTTTTGGAACCCCATCTTGAACACCAGCTTGAAGTCCAAAAGGAAACAATTATTTTAAGTAAAGTAGTTGCTGTGTGTCTTCTCTGTTGTGCTTAGCTTACAGTTATAGAGGACTTCAGGATTTCAATTCTTTTGTCCTCGAGCAGCATGAATATACAGGTAAAATATTTCCAAAGTGTCATGGTAAGTAACATGTGATTGCACCCATGCCTGTCTAGGGGATGTAGACTGAGCTAGGTGAGCCACACTTTGCAATGAATGAATTTCATAAATTTAGTCCGTATATTCTAAACTTTCCCCAAACCAAAAGTTGGTTCCGAATTTTGCTGCATTGTTCATGGCCTTTGGTTTGGTGGTCCTTGGCTATGCTAATGTGTATGATGTGACATGTTGTCACCAGCTGCAAGCTTTACCCATCAGCCACCTAGTTTCTGACATGCTGTCTATTGTGTGGACTCTTACCAAGCTTACTGCTGAAACTCAGAGTTGGCTGGTCAGTGAACTGAAAGATGCAATGGCAACCGTCTCCATTTGTCAATATGTGCTTGTGTCTGTTTAGTACCTGCACCATAATGTCCTATGCTGTATTCCAGAGCCTACATGCCATCTCCCAGCAGTATCAAAGGTACTGCCAGCTTTCCGAGAGAGCCCCAGTGGGAGATTAATGCGGCAGGATCCTGTGGTCCATTTGTCTCCAAACAAACAAGGGCATGTAAGTTAACTATAGTGGATTCTTAGCAATGTACCTTCCTGCAATGTGAAAGTGGGACAAGTCTGTTCTACTCTCTGCTCTGTGTGGTCAAAGAGGAAATCATCATAACACAGGGTGGGGTGGGAGGGGGGTTGTGGAGTTTGCTGCCATGGCCCTAATGTTGCTTTGGAGTAAATTGTAATTGTGTCAGTATACCCCTGCACCCCATAGGTCTGAATGGGAAGTTGACTGGTTCAATCACAGACAGTCCTGAAATGTTGGGGCTAGAAATGTGCTAGAAGAAGAGAAAGGCACTTAGTTGTAGGGACAGATAGCTTCCCTTCAACTGCCCCCCAGCTTCTCTTGTCTTCCATATTTGCACAGTGTACTTTCACCAAAGTTATATTCTCTCTTCCTCTTTCAACGTGCTTGATTTCCTTCATCTCTCTCTTTGGGGAATGTGTATTTATTTTCATGCCGTTTGGTAGAATGGGAAATACTCCATTTCATATCACCAATTTATAAGATGTACAGAGAACTTTAATGAGAAGGCTCATATATTGAATATTGAAGTTAAAAACAAGAGTGTGCACCCTACACTTTGCTCTGTGGAGATTTACCAAGAAAGTATGATACTGTCACAGTTCTGTGTGTAAATGGTAGATCATCCCAATTGGTCTGTGGATTTTCCTTCCCTTTATGTTAATTACATAGTAAAGTAATATTTTGCCTGTTTCTTTTTGCTTTTTGGCTGCTAGATGGTTTTTTTGAGGCAGGGTCTGGCTATGTAGCTCAGGCTGAGCTTGAACTTACAATCTTCCTGCCTCTACCTCCCATGAGCTGGGGTTACAGGCCTGCACTATCATGCCTGGCTGGCTATTAGAAAATATTAATTACAATTGTGGTTCACAGTGTGTCTCTAAAAATCTTCACATTACACTCTCAGTATGCCTCAAGTGAGACCCACGGCTTGGTCTCCAAATCAGCAGTACAATTGCAAAGGTAAAAAAGTTCTGTAAGTAAATGAAGGTGTCTTGGTACCACCCCAGAAATTGTTACCGAGAAAAATTAGTTACACCAAAAAAAGGAATTGAGTTAATTTTTTTTTTAAGAGGAAATGGTGTTTCATGTTGAGGTGAATCTGGGGTGTCCCCCTCCTGCTCCCGGCCTGGCCCAGTAAAGACCATGCTCCTTTCTTCACCAACAGATGCACACACATGTTCCTTCTGTCCTCTGTGTCTCTAGCAGGTATCTGAGCTTCCTGCCTTCTTATTTAAACCATCATCTCGTTCAGGTATCTTTTAAAAGCTTATTTGTTTGGTAAACTCTATGAAGTGTTTTGCCAGCATCTGAGCTGCATAGAAAGTGTTCTGCGAATACTTTTTATGTACGTATACTTCACATACCATGACACACACCTGTTCAAAGTACACCAATTGGCCCGGTGGCTTGTGCCTGTAATCCTAGCTACTTGGGAGAGGATTGCAGTTTCAGGCCAGTCTAGGCAAATAGTTCATGAGACCCCCATCTCCGAAATGACCATCACGGCAAAATGGATTAGAGGCATGGCTCAAGCGGCAGAGCACCTGCTTTGAAAGCATGAAACCCTGAGTTCAAACCCATTCCCACCAAAAAAAAAAAAAAAAAAGAACACTGGTTAGTGGTTTTTAATATATTCTCAGTTGTACATCAGCACTATGATCTAATTCCAGAACATTTTCATCACCCATTAAAAAACCCTATGTCATTTAGCAGTCTCCTCTGACTCTGCATCTCCTCCAGTACCTAGACAATCACTAATCTTTTTGTCTCTGTGGATATGCCTATTCTGAACACTTTACATGAATGAAATCATATAACATGTGACCTTTTGTTTCTTGCTTCTTTCACTGAACATGTCCTTAATTTTCACTCATGTTGTAGCATGCATCTGTATTTCATTCCTTTTCATGGCCGAATAATGTTCCATAGTATGGCTAAATCCTATTTTGTAACCTGTTCTGATGGTCATTTGGGTTGTTTCTACTTTTTGGTTAATATGAATAATACTGTTACAAATACTCATATGCAAGTTTTTGTGTAAACATATGTTTTTATTTCTCTTGGGTGTACACCAAGAATGGAATTGCAACTGTGTCCCACATTTCACTTTCCAACAAATATTGCCCCATTTTGTGTTTGTAACCATTCTAGTATGTATTTGCGTAAGGTTATTTCTCATTGTCCTTTCCCTAATTACAGTGATACTGAGTGTTTTTTCACATGCTTGTTGGATAGTTGTGTATCTTCTTTGAAGAAATATCTATTCACATCTTTGGCCTTTTTTAAATTGGTTACTTGAAGCACTAATGTTTTTAATTTGATAAAGTCCAGTTTATCTGAGTTTGTTTTTCCCTTTGTTTCTTCTGCTTTGGTGTTATACCTAAGAAACCATTTTATTACCCAAGAAAGGACACCAAGACTTAAACTTACATTTTCTTCTACTTTCATAGTTTGAGCTCTTAGATTTAGATCTCTGGGTCTTTTTGAGTTTATTTTTCTATATAGTAAGGGTCCAACTTCATTCTTTTTTGCATGTAAATATCCAGTTGTCTCAGTACAATTTGTTGGTCATTTCTCCCATTGAATTATCTTACACCTCTGTGTAAATCTTACCTATAACACTTTTTAGAAAGCTGTCTCCTGAGTAGATGCTAATTGGGGAAGGAACAGGAGAGTCTTCAGACTTAATGTGCCTTACATTCAGCCTTCTCTCTGCTCTGAGGATGGCTTTTAGAATCAAGCATACTTTCTTATTCTAAGCTCTTTAGAAATGTCATTTCCTTTCTATTTTAAGATATTAAAACTTCAATGTCTGTGTAGATTTTTTTCTGATTAAAATTATCTCATACTATTGTATTGATACTTTAGTATAAGTCAAATAATGAAAAAAGAATTCTTAAAGATAAAAAATTCTGCTCTGTCCATAGATGTTTTCCCAGGTACCTCTTACTTTTTGTGCCTCTGGAACTTTGTAACTAAATTGTATGTCAAACTGTTGTTCCCTCTTGTTCTTTTTGGGTGTTCAGAAGCAAAACTTTGAGCTTAAGAAAATTCATGCTTCCCTTGCAGTCTGATAGCCACTACTCAAGCCACTCCAGTAGCAATACCCTTTCCAGCAATGCATCGAGTGCCCACAGCGACGAGAAGTGGTATGATGGGGACCGTCCAGAATCTGAACTCAACAGCTATAACTATCTGCAGGGCACCTCTGCTGACAGTGGTATCGACACCACCTCCTATGGCCCCAGCCACGGTAGCACAGCCTCCCTGGGGGCAGCCACCTCGTCGCCCCACTCGGGGCCAGGCAAGGAGAAAGTGGCTCCCCTGTGGCACAGCTCCAGTGAAGTGCTCTCCATGGCAGATCGGACTTTAGAGACAGAGAGCCACAGCACGGACCGGAAAACAGAGTCCTCCCTGAGCCTGGACATCCACAGCAAGGGCCAAGGTGGCTCGAGCCCTCTGACAAGGGAAAACAGCACTTTCAGTATAAACGATGCTGCTTCCCACACCAGGTAACTGCCCTCCACACTGCTGTCCCAGCTGAGTCCCTTTCCCCGCCTTACCCCACTTACTACACGGTGAATATGGGATGATGTGATGTTCACAACAGGCACTGGTACTGAAGCTGAGAAAAACTGAATCTTTGTAAAGTTGGACTTTATTTTTTAATTTTCCTAACTGTGCTCCAGAATAGTTTTGTAATTTGGGTTTTAAGCTAGCGATGAATGTATAGACTGGAACAATCTTTTGAGGATTTTTTTAAAATCTTGAACATATTTTCATAAGAAAGAGGTCTTTCCTGAGACTAAACATTTTTTACAATGCCAAGCACATCCTTTCCACATCCCCACTATCTAAAAACATCAGTCACCCCATGTTTGCATGGTAATTTTTCTCAGTAATTGGCTCCTGAGAGTGATGTGTTGAGGGTAGAGGTGTCCAACAGAAAAGTCTAGCTCAAGTTAGACATATCCCATCTACTTTCAAAACAGAGAAGTATGCATTCTCTTGCATCCTTGGCAATCATTCCACTAAACAAAGTAAATACTACTTTTCATTTCCTCTGAAACCCAAGTCTGGGGAGGAAGTATCTCATTGCCATCACTTGGTTTCTGAATCTCTGGTGGTTTACTGCTCACTGTTGTGGGTCGCTCATCAACTCAAGTGATCCTGCTGTCAGCTGGTTTTCTTTTATTATTATGCCCTTATTCCCCTCCCCCCAAAAATAGTAGAGAAGCTAACTTTAGCTTTTTATTTTTCAAATGGGAAGCTAGGAACATGATCTTTCTGTAAGCCTCAGATAATCTTAATGAAAGAAAGAAGACATCCTGTACTTAATTTAGATTTAACTTGATCAGTTCAACACTCAGTTTTCTCATTGTGTCTGTATTCTTACTGATAAGCTTCCCTTTTTTTCAAATTGAAGGCCTTATGGTATGAAGCATTTCAAGAGTTGTTTTTCTTTTTGCCACTCCCACATTACTGATTTTAAAATGATTGTGATTGATCTTAAAAACTCCATGGTCCTCAAGCAAAAATTAACTTGAGGAAGTGGTCTCAGTATCTTGAGTGTCCCTCATCCCCTCCACAGTTCAGGAAATAGTGTTTGATTCAAATGGGGTAAGGGATGTGTTTAAGAACAGCAGAACAGTATGTTGGACATCAAATCTCGTAGTAGTATAGACATAGGATCACATGGCATGGGCTTATGACACATTCTGGCTGTTTTGGTACATCATGAGGCTTAGTAACTATAGACTGTACACTGGCTTAGACATTTTTGAGATCAGAGTTGTTTCTCTGTAGTTTCTAGGTTTAGCTTATCTCCTATGTCTTTGTTTTTCAGTTCCTCATTTTGAAAGGGGGGTATCTTTTCCTAAGAATATTATTCCAGCTAAAGAGAGATCTCTGGTCTAATGTTATGTCAGCAGAAAGTGGGTTATAGGGGGCTTGTCCAGAATGCCATCACTGAGGTGGAAGGAGCTGGGTCCCTGTGCCAAAGCACAAAACCTAGGGCCATGCCATTATCTGACAAATCCAGGGATCTACAAAGCCTGTCAAAAAGTAGGCAGCTGGGTTTGCATTGTCTAAATGTGCTGACTGGGCTGCCTGAAGGCCTCAAAGGATTATCTAAATTTTCTGCCTCAAATGGTCCCTGCAGGATCACTGAAATCCTCACTTGGAAATAACTTTTCTCTTGAAAGTCAGACTTACTAGAAAAGAGAAGAATGTGGCCTTTCAGGGAGTGTGGCAGGGCTTCCCACCCACTGGAGGGCTGAGTCACATTCGTTTCTAGACTCTGGTAAACAGGGATGCTTTGTAACTTCAGTCTGTTGATCTTGGCAGACTGAGTTGGATAATCAGGGCTTTAACAGCCTCCCTGTGCTGGAGGAAAAGGGGATTTAGCCACCAAATGCACATTGCTAGAGAAGCTAAAATCACAGCAAATTAGAGTGTTTGTGTCCTCAGAAGACAGGAACAGCAATTAATGTGGAGATCTCTTGACAGTACATAAAAGAGCTTGTACCTGGGACTCGGTGACAAAAATCTCAATTATAGTGATTAAGTTCTGCTGCATATTTCTGGCTGGGCTGTTCCTGTCCCCCTCTGTCCTCCAGTCTTCTATTGATGACTGTGCAGGTTTTGTTTTTTGGGGTTTATTTATTTATTTATTTGTTTGTTTTGTGGCACCCAATGAGAACTATGTTAATGCAGGCTGGTAATTAGTTAGGGTTGTTATATTTGAATGTCATTAAGAGAAGCAGTACTCATACTGCAACTTAAAACATTGGTTAAATGATCTAAAGTGTTGCTTGTTAGAATATTTTCTATGAAGCTTGGAAATCTGGGGAGAGATTACAGTTTTTATTTATTTTTTTATAGTGGCTGTTTTATTTTCAGATCTTAAAATGAACCACTCAAAAAAAAATTGTGGTGAGCATAGGATAAGTGAAGACAATTCTAATTTTAATACATTCTTAACATTTTCTTTTCTTAGAATTTGTGGCAACTAAGGACTTTCTCAGTATAAAGTGCTCTATTCCTGCTGACCGGTGGCATGTCTGATGCTGGAACTAGATTTAAAGCTAAAAATCCCACCTTGTACAAGTATGTGTGTATATTTATACAGACACATCTGTGTTCATTACACTTTTGTCCACTGTGACAATAACCTGGCAGGCAGTGGCGTACAGATTTATTTAGGCTCATGGTTTCAGAGGTTTCGGTCCAGGGTTGGCTAGCCAATCTGGATTTGATTTGGGCCTGAAATGAGGCAGAACATCATGGCAGTGGAGCATGTAGCAGAAGAGGCTGCTTGTCTCATGGCAGCCAGGAAGCAGAGAGAGACACGGAGAGGGCTTGAGATAAGGTACTGCCCCCAAAGACATGACTCCAGTGACCTGCTTCCTTCAACCAAGCCCCATCTAGAAAGGTTTCCATTAAATTATGAGTCTCCTCAGTAGAGTAATCCATTAATTAGGTTACAACCCTAATGTTCCAGTTACCTCTCAGTAACTGGATCTAAGTCTGGGAACTAAGTCTTCAACACATCAGCCTTTTTGGGGACACTTCATGTCCAAACTATACCAACATTTTTTTGCAACATACTGATCTGACTTGTTTGGGTGTCCAGATCTCTTTGCCCACCATTAGCCAGCCATTCTTTTTTTTTTTTTTCATTTTTCTTTTATTATTCATATGTGCATACAAGGCTTGGTTCATTTCTCCCCCTGCCCCCACCCCCTCCCTTACCACCCACTCCACCCCCCTCCCTCTCCCCCCGCCAATACCCAGCAGAAACTATTTTGTCCTTATTTCTAATTTTGTTGTAGAGAGAGTATAAGCAATAATAGGAAGGAACAAGGGGTTTTGCTGGTTGAGATAAGGATAGCTATACAGGGCATTGACTCACATTGATTTCCTGTGCGTGGGTGTTACCTTCTAGGTTAATTCTTTTTGATCTAACCTTTTCTCTAGTTCCTGGTCCCCTTTTCCTATTGGCCTCAGTTGCTTTTAAGGTATCTGCTTTGGTTTCTCTGCATTAAGGGCAACAAATGCTAGCTAGTTTTTTAGGTGTCTTACCTATCCTCACCCCTCCCTTGTGTGCTCTCGCTTTTATCATGTGCTCATAGTCCAATCCCCTTGTTGTGTTTGCCCTTGATCTAATGTCCACATATGAGGGAGAACATGGGATTTTTGGTCTTTTGGGCCAGGCTAACCTCACTCAGAATGATGTTCTCCAGTTCCATCCATTTACCAGCGAATGATAACATTTCGTTCTTCTTCATGGCTGCATAAAATTCCATTGTGTATAGATACCACATTTTCTTAATCCATTCGTCAGTGCTGGGACATCTTGGCTGTTTCCATAACTTTAGTCAGCCATTCTGCTTGTCTCAAAACTCTCTTTTGCTCCCCAAAGGCCCCCTCAGAGCCTGTAGCCTTAGGACTCACTTATGCAATCACATACACATTTTTTACTGCCATTCGGTACAGGAGGCTTCCCTGGCAACACTCATCACATACGCCACATAGACGTATGGTCAGGTGTTCAGTATGTGCTGATGAACAAACAGGAAGGACTTCTTTCTTAATGTTCCCGCTGTTTACTTGATAACTCAAGGCCTCTACTCAGAAGTCAATTCAAAAATCATGTAAGTCCTCAACTCCTGCCTCTTCTAGAAAACCATGGCTACATTTCAAAGCTTATTGTAAGGACATGTTAATACTTGCATAAAGCTGTGGTGCTCTTATGTGTGGGTTTTGGTGTTAAAGAATATTTAAATCTTTGTATAGCATGAACTTTTAGTAAACTCATTTCTACATAAACATTTTGGAAATCTGCAAAATATAACAGGAAAGAACTTGGTTAACACCTTATGCAAATGTCAGAGGGGAACTGCATACATGTTGGTCAGTGTCTGATGTTCACTAATGGAACTGGTTAAACACCAAAAGAAATGCCTGCTCTAGTTGTCAGTACAGTTCAGTTTCATGAATGGCCTTTTTCTGGTTGACCTGATAAGTTAGCTGTTCATGCCAGAAAATCTGTATGCTTCTTGAGAGTGGAGAAAAGAAGGGCTTCTTGTGTGCAGCTCACGTGGAACACTATGAAATTCCTCGGACTGCTATAATGTCATTAGTTATCTGTGTGTGCCCATGTGTGTTAGAACTGCTGTTTAAATACCTTTTTTGGCATCTTGTGTATCTAAAGAACTGTCTTCCTTCCTCGTATAGAAATTATTCAGTTGCCTTTACCTGTAACATTTCTCTCTCTAATCTTTTCTGCCTGGAATTTTTAAAAAATTATCAATAATTAATTGCCTCTCATACATTTTTTCTGAAGATGAAAATACTACTTCTCTAAGTATAATGGACTAATTCAGAATTTAGAAGTTCAGTGTCTAAAATTTCAACCTATAACTTCTCTTAAAGATTTGGCTCTTGGACTGGAAATGTGGTTCAAGTGGTAGAGCACCTGCTTTGCAAGTGTGAAGCCCTGAGTTCAAAC